ACTCACTCACTCACTCACTCACTCACTCACTCACTCACACTTCAAACATAAAACTATATTTTCTTAAATGCTATTTTCTTAAACAACCTTTTTCCTCCCTTTTCCTCCAGAGGTCCTCCAGATGACCACTGGGCCCTCGTCAGCGGTTTACCCACTTATGTTGCAGAAACTGGGCTGGTGAGGAACTCAGACTGTTATATTCTGTCATAAACATTAACCTTCAATAATAATTTATCATTAATGTAATGCTCTATCTCAGATAAGATCAAACAAGATGGCCATTTCATTAATAAACATCTTTACATATCGCATTTCCTGTGATGATGTTGTAAACATAATTATTATAATTGGATTATTAACACTGTCTAAAAACAATATCTGCTAAAAAGAAGTATAACAGAAATAGGAGCACATGTTTGCCAAACAACAATAAGAAACTGTCTGTCCGTCTTTCTATCCAATTTTTTTCTGTTTGGATCGAAGACTTTTCCATGTCTTGATCTGTTTTTTCTACTTAACTTCCAAAGTAGTTTTGCCAAAATAGTAAATTGAAATAATACGATTAAGGAAAGACATTCCCAAATAGTTAACCAATTAGTTTTCAATGCCTAAGGGGCCACAAATATATAAATAGACCATAGCTGATTAGTATTTTATTAGGACATTTGCATGTCTGTTAAACAGAAGTCATGTAAAACTGTTTCCTTTAAAAAGATGTTGGTTCCTGCTGCCGGTTTAATAGAACTAAACTGTCAGTGTAAACATGGCTGTAGAAAACAAAAGGTGTGAGACGTGACACTCTTTTAATGTAGAAGTGTAATTTTTGTGTCTGTTGTAATTAATCACTCTCATTCCGTTCTCCTCCGATATTACAGCTTATTTTGCCGCTTTTAATTTTTCAAGTCTTCATCATCTTCCCTCTTTGCCATCATTCTTTTTACCGTCATGTGGGGAGGGTGAAAACATTATGTCTCAAAAGAGACATATTTCCATGAACTGGGAGTAAAAAGTGACATTGATGGTCTTTGATCCGAAACAGGAATGTGAATACATTAGAAATGAAGATAACACTTTGTCAGCAGCTGTAAATTACTTAGGAACATGTCTCTGTCAGAGGAGGTGAATCTGAAGGCTTTTATCATGGGAGAACATGCTGACATTTTTCCTTCTTCAGTGTAGCCTATGTTTTTATATTCCTATTAGTTTCTATTTAGTATCTGCAACATAAACAGTTTATATTTGCAGTTTAGTTTGAAGTCATATGTTTAAAAATGCCCCTCATCCACCTCTTGCTTTTGTGCCTAATTCCTTTACAGATTTGCAACATCATGAATGCTGCTCAGGATGATTTTTTCAAATTCCAGGTAGGAAGTGATTCACATGTTTGTTGCTGATTGTTTGGTTTAGATGTGTGGACATTGGCTTAAATATGACCCTGCAGCTGAGGAGATAATAGACCCAAATGTCCTGTTCGCTTTGACCGTTTAAGGGTTTAATTGAACATTTATTTTTAAAGGGAACTTTTAAAAGTTTTTAAATGTAAGAACTAATCTTCATTTATTATATATATATTTTTTAATACACAGATGTTAAAATTTTAGGGTTAGGGGAGTGGCGGCCTAATGGTTAGGGCATAGGGCTTGGAATCCTGATGTTGTGAGTTTGAAACCCACTCCCACGGACTGCCACTCTGGGTCTCTGAGCAAAGACCCCTGATTGCTCCCTATGCGCTGCACAATGGCAGCCCACTGCTCCCCAAGGGGATGGGTTAACTGTAATGGTACATTTCTCCAATGTGAGATCAATAAAGTTTAACTATTATTATATATTACACATTTATTGAAATCCTTACAGACATTTAGATAGGCCTGTTACCAAATTCAAGAGGATTAAAATGCTTTTTTCCCCCTTAAAGAGATGCCTGTCTTATTTGTGGATGATACCCTCTTAAAGTCAGTAGCATTAAAGTAGCTTAATACTTGCGTGACCTTTTTCCATTTCAAAACTTGTTTTGATGTGTATTAGGAATAATAGTTCTGTTGGAAAATCAAATGTTATGAATCTACAATCTAGATGAAAAATTTCATTTAAAGTTTAAGATGCTGCAGTTATCCTTTGTTTCCCTCAACTTCACTCCTGAAAATATAGAATTAAGTTAAATTCAATTCAGTCTTTTAGCTAGGAATATTTCCTAGGGTGTACACCTCAGTGTATCACATCTTTAGTCTTTGTGCTGCCTAGGGGGTCGTGGGGGTTATTCTCCCCTGGAAAATGTTGAAATTTAGACTCTCTGAATCACTATTTCCTGCATTTAAGGTGGAATGCAGCTAACTTATTTTCTTTGTTGCAACACTACTTTTGTGTGCTTGAGTAGAGGTGGAATTTTTATAAGGAAGACTGAGATCATTTTTAGGGACAACATTGTTTCATAGGTTAATTTAAATAATCAGAAATAGTAATGCTTCGTTCACACCGTGATTTGAGCAGCAAAAATCACGGTGTTTGTGCTTGTCCACATTAAGGTCAGATGAGTCTGATGCTTCTGCTGCTCCTGTGTTCATTAGAAGAGAGTTGCTTTGCTAGTTTTGCTGTTATAAGAGGGTAAAAAGCAGTTTTAATATATTTTTATGTGAGAAAGTCCACCTAAAAGATCATCTATGCAGCCGTTCATCTAGATTACGATCCTTTCTTAAAATATTATTTCATCGTTGGAGGCACTAGACCCCAATATACCGTCGGTGCACTATCACTAGGAATCCCCAGCAGCAGCTGCCTTAGGCTTGTTTGCCTCTTGGATTTTTCCCCTACTGTTCTTGGCGGCTGGAAGTAGATGTCAAATATGTGGTACAAACTGCAGGCATCAAAATAATAAAAGCGAACATATTTTGCCGGCAAGTTTCTCCATTTTAAGTTCTTTTAGGCGTTTAATAAACAGTTTCAGTGAAGTGATCATAGCTCTCTGCATCAAGAATGCTGTCTGTCTACCTGCCAGCTCGCAGAACAGCTTTTCTGATTGGTTGATGTTGTGCGTCGAGCAACAAAAATAAAATTTTCCAACTCCAGCATCTGCTGCTAGTGAAATTCTTAGCATCTGAGTGATGTTTCTAGAGGCGTACCAAAGCTGTACATCCCAAAAACGTACAATTTCTCATTTTCTTCAGTAAGGAGTTTGCTAAAAGCCTGATTCAAACGAATATAGTGATTATTTCCAACATATTTCATCATCTCAGGTTACTTTACAGAGACAATTCAATCGAATGATACAGACAGATTGTTTAAATGTTTTCTGTCTAATTACTGTACGCCCAGCTGACTGCATCCAGTCATTGACTTTACAGAATATGCCCCTCCCAGAGGAGCATTTAGTGTCGCTGACTCTGCAGCAATCCCTTACCCTGAGCATGCATGCAGTTTAACATAAAAAACAGATTGCTTAATCAAAATTACTAATAATATTAGCTTATTGTCACACAGTTCCTAGACTATGCTAACCATTTCAACACATATGCAATGAAAGAAAGACTATTCCCATTATTTAAGTTACTTAACATTATTTAGGACATCTTTTGGCAATATTCAGATTTCCTATTTAAGAGAGATCATGTGGATATTCAAGTTCAAATGTGTCTTTAACACTTGTTTGTGCCTTAATTTGCAGGCAGAGCCGCTAGACGAGTCTGGCTGGACCATTAAGAATGTCCTGTCTATGCCTATTGTCAACAAGAAAGAAGAGATAGTGGGCGTGGCCACGTTCTATAACAGGAAGGATGGGAAACCCTTTGATGAAATGGATGAAACGCTAATGGAGGTACAGGTTCTGTCTTTATGTGTGGCTGCACTGAGTCACTGGTTTATAAATACACTAAAGGCCATTCAGACGCCCTGCATTATTTATCAGTGAGCCTCAGGGCTTTCCACTGACGTCTGTCTGTCCAGTTTACAAACCAAAATCATGAAAGACTGACCCTTTATTCCTCATTAAATGTAACTTTTAAGTGGATCATTGAATTTTAACTTCAGTCACTGCTAGTTTTTATACTAGCAAGGGATGCAAGGATTATTTAAAAGAGTTTAGAAAACTTTTAATTTTCAATCTATTAAGAATTCCTATGATTAGTCATAGAAATAAATTACAGCTTTCTGCTCCATGCGGTGGAAAAATGAAACACATGCCATGAATCAAATCACATTTATAAACTATAACTCTGTGTAGCCGTCGTATTATCTGACCTTATCAGTCTCCTGGATCGGAGGTCTTTAACAAGGGGTCCTCAACCCCTAGGGGGTCCATGGAGGTACTGCATGGGGGTTGCAAAGGTTTCAGTTGATTAGACTTCTTTTTATAATCACCACTGCAATTTTTTCCATTAATTGAAATGTCTTTAAATCCACATTAGCATTCAACACA